TCTGAGCGATACATTCCATAATAGTAATCATCCTCCTCATCATCACTCCTAACAAGAAAATACAAAAGTAAACAAATAACTGAAATATAAAAGCATTAACAATTAACGATTATCTGAATACAAACATCAGATCAATGCATGACAGAAAATGATATCATCGTCTGTATTCACAATTAAAGACATGCATCAGCTAACCCATGCATATTAAGTAAGAATGCGACTATAAGGACACAGGTAGAGTTTCAAGAGAATTAGAATAACTATAGGCCCGAATAGCATCATCTCTCGCACAAATTAAGAGAGAGATCTAACAGGTGATGGGAACGTATTAATTATCTCAGTTTTTACTACATTATTTCTGTAATTAATATTCACTAAATGTACTCTCTCTAATTTAAAATTATATTCGTATTAATATTTCAACATATTTTAAAACTGTTTTTAATTTTTTTTAAATAAAATTAAAAAATGATATACAGTTTTTTTTTCTTAAGTTCAAGCGCTAAAACAAATCTCATTTTAAAGAACTAAAAATGGACCCTCTTTTTAGTTGGGACCGAAATAAAATTGATAAAAAATTAGATTTGAACTCTTGTATCAACACTTGAGAATACCTGTAATGGCCATAATAACTGGATGATGAAGTCAGGAGAGACGTAGTGCGATTTATGCTCTTCCCATTCCTTAAATTATCTTGCTCATCAGTTATGACACCAGAACTATACGGGTCATAATATTGACGATCATTTGAGCAAGGCGTTGAGTTAACATTGCTGATTGCACTATGACAGGTGTAGTCGGACTTAGTGCTACCAATGCTGGTGGATGAAGAGGATGGACTAACAGCAGAGCAGGTAGCTTTGTCCCCATCTTGCAAGACAGATGGCTCCTTCCCCCACTGTTTGAAGCAATAATTACAGACTCTGATCTTCTCGGAATCCTCACGAGAATTCGTCGGGTCAGTGGAAGGAGCAGGAATGGAATTTGCGGTACATTTTGAACAGAAAACCCGTCCACAGCGACGGCAATGATGCCGCCGGTTGATAAACGTGAACTGAGAATCGCACTCATAACATACCCTACAGCTCTTGTCGGGCATCCAAAAGTCCCTCGAGACATTTTCCGGGTCGGACCTCCATGGCATCCATGACTTCACCAAGCCCACCAGGTCGGATAATTTGTTTTCAGGATGGCCCATTTAATGATGTTGATGAAAATGTGGATTCCACCGGTATGGCCACTCCGCTCATCCTAATCTGCTCATCCGCCACCTCAAACTTCTCGATCTAATGTTAAAAAACTACGAAATACAGAATGCTGAATGCTGCGCAACCGCCACCTCAAACTTCTCGATCTAATGTTAAACCACGGAATACAGAATGCTGCGCATGGGAAAGTAGTTAGCCATAAAAATAATCATAATCAAAAGAATCAGCGGGTTGTCTTCCAAAAGATTGGAAAAAAAGAAAAAAAAACTCAACATGTGTATGTGATATCACAAATATATTGCCACAACTCTTATGACTGGAAGAGCTATTGTACATTCTACAAAAACAGCAATTTCAGTTCAACCAGGAATGAATTGGATTGACCATTTATAATTCATTTAATGGCCAATCAAGCTATTCTTCAATAGATGTTTATTGAGTACGATCTATTTATCTTTAAAATTAGATATTTAAATCTTTATCATACAGGAAAAATGCATCCACTTCATTCTCGACTATGAATTGTATAAGTGAGCTCTCTAGAAAAAACTTCTCAAATATTTCTCTTCCTCCTTAATACTATTACTATTATTATGATATATCTCTTTCTTCCTCCTTTTTTTTTTTTTTTTTTTTTTTTTTTTTTTTTTTTTTTTTT